GCGTTTTATATATTTCCCTTCCTAGCAAATGATTTCCTTGTGGAAATGCCCGATTCTGCCTAAAGTCGGCAAGCGGACTATACTGGCTTGTGGATCTCCTCAGTCCCTCCAGAAAACTGACGGAGTATTACCTCGGAACAGGCCACGGCAGTTTCTTGCTACATTCTTTCCAACTATTCTCTGTCATGTGGTCCGAGCTACCGGGAGCGGCGTTAGATGAGCCATGCATATAGATGTGTGAAATACTGGTCTCGTCTGTGCCCGTACGCATGGGCTGCGTGGTCTAAGGCATGAACTGTCTTCGTCCAATCAAGCGCTGGGATCGTGGCTTCGAATCCCTCTCAAGGCATGGATGTCTGTGTGTGCGTTTTTTTGTTTGTGTTGTCATGTATGTAGGTAGCGGCCTTGCGACGGGCTGATCCCTCGTCCAAGGAGTCCTACCTTCTGAGTAAGAAGATTACCAGGGCCCAACAGAGGGCTGTACAGCCACTGATGAATGGATGAATGAATGAATGGACATGTAGGTTTCAAGATCACGTATTTAGAGTTATTTGTCCTTGAACGTAGACACAGAGGTCATCACCACGGAGGGATAGCATTACTTCATGAAAAGCACTGAACTCCACAAGTGACCATCAGTCTGTGCCCTGTACCGTGGAATGCTGTGGGTGGGGGCAGAATAGCCATAAGGCCAACGAGCTGGCTAAGTATTGCTTTCGTTCCTGACAGGAACCAGCTTGTGGGACTTTTTATCTTATTGGGCTAGCATTTCTCTGACTCTGGTTTCCAGTTGTGTCCAGTTTTGGCGTTGACAAGCACTCGCCTTGCTTAATGCTTCGGAGGATTATTTCACTTCCATATTCAGAGCCGAACAGTAAAGCAAACAAGAAACCAGCAGAAACAGACGGTAATCTCACCAGCTGATGCTAGGGACGAATGAAATAATTTCCTCCGAAACTGTAGGGCGTTACATTCCAGAAGACCGTCTACTTTACTTATGATTTTGCAGCCGAAATTTTGGTCATGAGAATCAGTTTACTGTAAGCGCCTAAGCGCTCGTCTTTTGAATAGAGAACATCTCCATACTTTGCTGCCGCGGGCTGTGAACCCAGTCCCTCACGGTTAGTCTCCAGGGTACCTTCCCCTTCACATCGGAAATCCATGGTACAAATTTCGATTTTTAAAAGTTTTAATTCTTCATTATATGCAACGGGATTATGAGAGGGGGTGCTTTCAGCGAGAGTGCGGACAGTTTCTGTACCGTGCACTGCAAACCGAAGGCTGTGAAGTCCCTAAATCGAAAGGAGAGACAAAAGCAGAAATCACATGGGCTAAAGGAGGACAGATTGTTAGCTAGTTATAACACAAAGTTAATCATAACATTAGTGGCTAGAAGCCAGTTATAAGAAGACATCTTCAAGTCAGCAGACAACTTTAATAAGGCAAGTAAGTGAAGGCACATCTAGGAACAGCATACACCTTCTGTGTGGGTATCATGTTCGCTGAGTTAGTTAAAACATTCCCCAACTTTTATGGAGCCCAGAGTTTTCTTACCGTCTTCCAAACGTCTACAAGTGCACTCAGTTCTGAGCAACACGGATCCAGTTCACGTGCTCACAGCCTGTATAACAATTCACAACATAATGCCCTTCTTAGGCCAGATCAAGCTTACCACCATTTAAAAGTCCGTCGTTTAACGATTATGAATCCATTGCCAGGACACGACTAGTGAAGAGTGAAGGCTGAGAGCCATAGTGTGTGTGTGTGTGTGTGTGTGTGTCAGCGATAGTGCTGAATTTGCCTGTAGTTCCGAATTGTGTGTATAGGGAGCAATAAATGCAATCATCCAATTCAAAACACGTCTTACAAGTAACGCACGCCACCATACACGTGACTATATATAGATTTTGAGTTAGTGTTTATTGGTCCACTGTGAGTCTTATTGGTATAATCAAATTGTTTCTCAGTCGGAAATTTTGCTTAGAAGCAGTGAGACCCGCGGACAGAGCGTGGCACATATTTCTGCTATTCTGGGCAACTTTGTTCTTCAGCCATCGTGATTAACTTTCTGTACTGGTTGTGCCATAGCTCAGGCGCTTAGTGGCCGGGTTTCCAACGCAGTGGTTCTGGTTCGGGGCCAGACCACGGCATGTGGGATTTGTGGTGGACAATGTGGAGCTGGGGCAGGTTTTCTCCGAGTACTTCGGTTTCCCCTACCAATTTTCATTCCACTCACGGCTCCACACTCAACATCTATCATCCGGGGCTGGTACAATAGGCCAGTTAGTGTCAGTCTCGCGTCACACCAAGTACACTCGCCGTGTCCTTGCACGGTCAGCAGTCTCCTGTCCTGTCATGATACCCTAAACTCACACGGAACACAGGATCCATGCCGAAAATAATGTTTTGTGACTGAAGTTACAAATTTTCTCACATAGCAGATTCAGTAACAAGGGAGGACTTGAACACAGGCGACATCATTAAGAAGGATAAACTTCCTGCGACTTCTGAAAATATGCACAAAGAGAAACATAGGAAAGTAAGGACACTATTAACAGGCCGACAATGTCACGCTGTGACGTTATGCACTGAACATTGTTAGCGTCTGCCACAGGGCGCAGTAATGTCACGCCTGCATCGTAATACTGACCCGGGGTACACGGCTGTTGGAGGAGTGTCGAATATGCCAGGCGAAGTTAACATTTCGCTTAAGCACATACTTTCGCAACTGAAACATACAACACAATGCGGAATGCTGACACATGGACCACATTTTATAGTCAATTAAATATTAAGCCTCCTTAGAGACGGTTACAGCTTTGTTGAATACACATTAAAGGGCCGCCTTTGTGGTCTAGTGGTCAGAGTTCCTGGCTACAGATCCAGAAATCCCGGGTTCGATTCCCGAGGCTATCAGTTTTCTGAGAAGTAGTGGGTCTGGAACGGGATCCACTCAACCTCGCGAGGATAATTTAGGAGCACTTGAATGGAAAAGTAGCGGCTCCGGTCTAGAAAACTGTGGGAATCCTTTGCGCCGGCCGCGTGAAACCCTCTTCGTCGACAAGCGGCGGTCGCTCAGTCGGTATAGTTCGCTTGCGGACTAAAATCACCGAGTTTGTTTTGTTTGTTTATTGGTGTATGTGTTACGTGTGTCGCACCCAGTGGTTTTAGTAGGGTGTAGCAAGTACTCTGGGGAATTACTTGCAAAATGTACTCGTAAGTGCACGAAATTTAGCCCTGTGTTAGTAGGAGAACATGCCCATACATTTTCAAGACGGACCGTAGGTTCGAGACTATGGATAACGTTACGGGTAGGCCCAGTGGATTTCAGGCACCTTTCTTTAAGGTTTATATGCATGTGGTCCGCAGGCAGCGTGGGGTAGGCACGCCGGGCAAGGCAAAGTCTTGCAGGGATTCTCAAGGTTTCTGTGTCCTTGTTCTTAATTGGCAGCGGTAAGCAGCTGCAAAGTGTTGGTCCCCGAAACGGTCCTCTAATGCCTGAAGTGTTTCCTCGTAAGTTGTATTTGTCGGAATGGCGGGTAGCACTTCTGCCGCCCGGCCCTACAGAGCGGTAATTAGGTACGTCGATTTCTCCCGGTCCGACCACAATATACAGGTTGATTCTGAAGTATTGTCGGGATTTCTGTGGCCAATATTTTTCAAACAGGAAAATGAATATACAAAAGCGGCCTACGAAATATAACTCAAAGCGTTTTATTTTACGATGCCATATTGGCAGTATGAATGTCTTGATTGAGTGTCACTTTCATATTCTGTAAGCAGTTGTATTTTTTCCTTTCTGGTTTGATTATTATAGGCCACGAAAACCCGTGCAATAATTTAGGATTACCCTGTATTTCTATGTCTCGTCATCGGCACACAAGCCAGAAACATCAGAGTACATGCAGAACGAGCAACGCTTCGAAAATGTAGGAAGTTCAAACTTTGGGAACTGCCATGGACTCGCCAAATCAAAGTCATATTCATGAAGAAATGAGGGTCAGTTTGAACCCCATCCGGCTCAAAACGGTTTGTTTCCCAGTCCCCTACCAAAAATATAAACGCCACATTTCAAAAAGCTGTCATTTTACTTTTGAAATTTCCCCTCTAGCGAAAAGAACGCAGATTACGGGCTCTTGTATACAGAGTATTGGGAAGAATATCTGAACGCGAAAAGAGGAGATGGAAGGAGATGCATAGCGAGGGGTTTCATAATTTGAACTATTCATCGGACACTCACACATGGACAGACTGGGTGCAAAGCTCTGTGCAAACTATAAATATATATATACCTGGAAAGAAAGTCGTGACGGGATGGGGGGGGAGGTATCAGACGGGAGGACCGGCAGGAAACGGAAGTATGTGCACAAGGCTCCAAGACTGCAGTTTTAGTTAAATTAAGAACGGCCAGGGGGCAGTGACAGAGATACCTGTGCTTCTGTCGGTATTTTAGTCTCCATCTTTGCCGAAACCGTATTTCCATTGACGTTAGCGTGAATATTCACTGAAATTCCAAATCAACGTACATTAAAACGGATCAAAAGAGGCGCTCACTATGGAAAATGTAGAAATAGATGGAAATACTCAATCCGTTGGTTTCGCCCAATTTCTGCATTTCAGTAGCTTCTGTCTGTTCCACGGCTACGCTGCTGTGTTGCCACTTGAACTTAAGGAGACCTCATCCACACGAATTTTACACGTAATTACATTTTGGAATTGGAAATTGGGTGGCTCTTTTGGAGACTATAATAAACTTACGGCTAGTATATGACATGAGTATGTCTAATGTTATGAATTTCATCCACGTGTTTGGTCTGCGGAAGGACAACTGCCGCGGAGAACACAGATGGAGCAAAATACAGGGCGTTCAGTTACGGAGGAAACTTCGTAACACCGCTGACGCGGCCCAACATTCCTCGGAGATTGCAGCTGTAACTGCCGATAGCAGAATGAGTCATTAGCGCTATAAACGCGCGCCGTTACAGTTGCAGTGAACTTACCTACAGTGGAGGCTACCGGACAGCAGTGAGAGTCTGGAGGCGCCAATGCAGTGGGAATGTAGACCCACTGGGAGGGGCGGCGAGGAGACGGAGACTGCGGCGGCGCAGGGGGCACCTGCCTCCCTGGGAGTTACCCTCAACTCATCCTGTGAAAACAGTATTCAAGCAAGTAAGTCGTGCCTTCAACTCGTTTGTCTGTGCTGAGGGGAAGTTACAAGTGACTATGACAGAACTGTCCCAAGCATTAGTCGTGAACACCGTGTAGTTCGATATAAGTCAACCGACCTGCCTATGTCGTTACTGAATTATCAAAATGGATCCTTCTTTTACATTTACCAGTAATATTATGTTCTTAATGTGGGATGTATTGTGGTTATAGTGTGGTTTACAATCAGCTGCTGTGTTGACGACCCTCAAGTATAGCCTTAATACACAAGAGGATGCAGAAAATAAAGTTGTTAGCTGGATTCCTGCACCCCCACCCGTACGTAACGAAATACAGGTTTTCGGAGTCACTGCCTAATGTAAGAGGCCCTGTCTACACGTCGCAAGATGTCCTCCTGTCCACAATACATTGACTGATGTGTTCCAACTGTTTGTGGACTGACTGCTTACTGGTTGCTAGAAGCAGCTGAGACGGTTAAAGATCAGCCATGGTGTGTTCTTCATTGGAAGTACAAACTTCAGACAGTGAGGATTTTGTGGGCCTTCTTTTTGAACGCTTGTACACGGTTTGGGTTCTTCTGGTTTATTCTGTCTCGGAAAACTTTCATATTAAGGATCTTAATGTGAGCTTCAAGGACACCGTTGCGTGAACTGAGCATGCGCGTGAGTGTGCGTGTATGTGTGGAGAGATACTTTACGACTCTGAGCAGTAGCTGAAGCACATAGCAAAGTTTGGAAAGATGACACAAAAAGGTAATTATCCTTAACATTGCACTAAATACTGGGAACTTCATGACTAGCTGAGAAACTATCAGCTTCGCAAGAAGGCCTCTGCTGCATTTAGATCGTCGGGCTTTTTGTGGGTTATTTTACTCCTACGTCAACGCCAGAATACACAGCGTCGAATTGCAGAACAGATAAGTGTACTGGAATGGATTTGGAACTTTGCTGTGGAGGCATAACCTAGGTACTTCCCGGCACTTCCTTGGAGTTCGTGAAGCACCATGCCCTGACCTAGATTCGAAACAAGCGTCTCACGAATACGACCCTACAGCCCGGCAAGCGAATTTCGGGTGCAAGATGAAAAGTCCTTAGAAAATTAAAAAATCACAAAAATTAAATAAATTATAAAAATAATTTATAAAATAGATATTTAAGTAAACACAGTGTTCCCGCTTTAACGACGTCACAGCTCGTATGGAAGTATGAACTTGTGCGAGAAGTCACATGCGCTCCCAAAATGTTTCAGTTCGAGTTCTTAACAAGAATATCGAATGCGAGAGGTGCGCATGTGACGCTGTTTCTTATACAGAATTCCTTTCATTCGAGCGCCAAATCGAGCGAGATCTAGCGGCGTGTTCATCAGATTCAAATGCGAGAGACAGGATTGACAATACGAATCGTCCAGTGCATTTCAACATCACGTGGTTTCAACGTCGACTCCTATGCATTACGTTATGTCGAATCTGTTGGACCTTGATTGCTAGGCTTCCTTACATGCAATAGATTATTCAGATGTAAACATCTGAAGTGAATTTGTTACGAAACCGTTTAGCTACTAACGACAATATGGCTAAAATTTCACTAACGTAAATCTATTTACAAAGAACAAATGGAGCGGAGCAGGCAGATGATTAAGTACACTCAGGAAGTTCGGTTTGTTTGGCTGGTTTATCACGTAACAACAATTTTCTCTGAAGCCCTTCATATTGACGTATTGTTTAAGAAGAGAAGGTAAGAAGCAGCACAATAGAGTGATCAAGGGAATTTTGCTGAGTCGGAAATCAATCAGGGAACAAGAGGAAGGTCACAGGCAGCTCGAAGCAACGCATCTCTGAAAATATCAACACTGCTTTGCTACATTTCATGTGTCATTAGATGTGACTCGATATAGCTCAAGCGGTTAGTCGCTGGCTTCCCACCACGGCGGCCCGGGTTCGATCCCGGGTCTGGTCAAGTGGGATTTGTGGTGGACAAAGTCGCGCTGGGGCATGTTTTCTCCGTGTACTTCGGTTTCCCCTAGCAATCTGCATTCCACCAACTGCTCCACAATCACCCTCACCTATCATCTGGGGCTGGTACAATAGGCCAGAAGTGGCCGCAGTACAAGGGCCTTAGTCCCACCCCACTAGCAATAAAAAATAATAGTACAGAGCCAAACGGAATTATGCTTATGTTTTATGTGGCTAATTTCAATGTAAGGGAGGCACTGTCTCACGTTAAGGGAACGAAGATTAAAGGAAGGAAATTAAAGTGGAAAGGAGAACAATCCCGGGATTCACAGGTGCGATAAATTTTGTCTTGAAGTGGTTTCACGGTGCAAGAGACAGAGAAGTGGCTCTGCGCCCGGGCGGTCCTGTAGCGGTGGAAACATAACATTCATACCTTCAGCTTGGCTCGTGTAGACTAGCACAATACCTTATTTTCTTCTGGCTAACAAAAGTCATTAAGTTGAAAAGACTTAAAAATACAAAACAATATAATTCAAAATATTTAAGTTGAAAGGGGGTGAGAGTAAAATTACCATTGTTACCGGCCTTAGGTACCTTACGGAGGAGAAGGGGTGCAAAGCGACCAGTTTATAGACTAACTAGCTAACATCTTCACATAAGCACGTCACGTTGGCAATATTGGATGCTCTCACTCTACAAGCCTCCATAAAATGTTTTGTAGGCGTGAGAGTTATCACTGTCATTGTGAAATAGTGCGTTACTACAGAAACAAATTTTCGAGCCTTAACACGTTCCATAAATTATCTAGAACGTCATAGAGAAGATATATTTTTCTTTCCAGTGTATCGTGTCTATTCTGTGGATACTGATAATATTTTATGCGGATAAATTAATTGCAGTGTACCACAAAAAGGAGGTGGTTAACGTTTGAGTACTTGTGCGTTTTATGCGTGGTGGATGGAGCTGACCACTCACCTCCAGCTACTGCCGAGGTCAAGAAGATGTGGATCTATACAATCACTCCCCCATACGCCTTCATGGCGTAGTGCTTAATTAATTAAGCACAGGAACATCTTTTACTGTGTGCTGTAGGTTGAAAAGGTGGAAACATGCAGTAGTTATCACAAAGTGACGTCATTCTGTCAGCTGGACCTGTAACTAGAGCAAGTGCAGCTGATAGAATGACGTCACTTCGTGCCAGTGGCACGGCACGGGATCACCCACTCTGGCACAAACTGACGTCATTCTGTCAGCTGGACCTGTAACTAGAGCAAGTGCAGCTGATAGAATGACGTCACTTCGTGCCAGTGGCACGGCACGGGATCACCCACTCTGGCACAAACTCACTCCGTTTGGAAATGATCACCTTCATTAAGACGCAGCGCACGTAATTCTGAATGGTCTCAAATGCGCGGAGCCTTCTAAACAAGCAACAGGAAACGGAAGTCTTGTCTCCTGTGGTTCAAAGTACCCGTCAGCCTCAAGGAAGGGGAAGCTGGTTCCTCTTGCGTGACAACTTGAGACCTCACATTGCAGTATCAGTAAAGTAGTTTTTGGCAAAACAAGGGATTCCAGAATGATATGACCCCCATGTGCTCCTGATTAGCCCCAACCAGACGTTTTCTTGTCCCCCAAATCATACCCACGATAAAAGGAAGATGATTTGAAGATGACAACAAAATGTGTTTCCAGTGGTTTTATGAGCAAGTACGAAGTGACATCTTGAAGACATTAAAATATATTGTAGCATGTAGACGCGTTACTAAGTAATGGCTCTGTAAACAACGCCCGCTGCTAGGCAACAGATTCCTAATACGCACCAATAAACTACATGGGAAGCGGTGCCTTCGAGAGCTGCGTGACGCAACAATAGAAGAGTGCAGTCCATGCCAGGTGTTAGGGTTAGTTCTGAGTCAGTCGCCGGCCAGTAAGACGTGAACGCGTTGAAGCCGTTACCAGGCGAAAACTGGCGGAGACACAACGGACTGAGCAGACTTACTACGTACTGTCATGAACTGTAGAGTGTGTGAGCTAGGGGCAGCGCTGCAGCTCTCTGCTTTGTGCGTAGTTACGACCTGCAAGTGTTCAATAAACGTAATTACCAATCCAAACCCGCCTATATCCGCTCCATAGAATCGTGACAATATGTTCGATTTTAAATGTGGTTTTCTGAAAGTTCGCGTAGTCCTGGAACTTAATTTTCTAACCTTGTATATTCGGGAGATGCCTGATTCGAGTCTCGGTCCGGACACCGGCTATCCTGAGGCTTCTGACGGTTTTCTTCAGTCCTTCCAGTCATGTTCAGGGATTGTACCTTGATTAAGCTATGTTCACTGCCTTCCAGGTTCTCACTAGCGCACTGTCTGTCATACTGTGACCTGACGCGGCCTCCTGTGTACCAAAAACTATAAATTCTACAGGACAAAAATAAGTCAGGACTTCAAATATTATATAATTTTATATGAATAGGTGGACCTAAGAAACATATTCATTTCTCTTTTATTTAATTAAATATACTTACCCCAAAATATTTGCAAATAAACTTACAGATTTTAACGAATTTCTTTATGTGCGGTTACTTTCTTGCACATGTATTCACGTGTTTCTTAAAGAATCTGATGCAACTATATAAATTTGGAAAGCACATTTTTAGGGTTGTCTGTGGCTGGATTACACCACGCCGAACGATATGATCACAGATTAATGATAAATTGGAAATAACTGAAGAAAGCTGTTGGAGCCTAGTCGAGGTAGTACACACAGCACACGGCACATCTAAATTATTTTAAAAATTGGTAAAATTTGTTTTAATTATTTTTAACTTTTAATCCACGTACATTTTGTATTTAAATTAACATCTAGCCGTTACGATGTACTCATTTTAAGTCTATATATGTAAATATAAATACACGCTTTACAATTCAATAATTAAAATATATCAATCACAACACCTGAAGATGATCCATTTAGGATCGAAACATACAGTGGAGGTTATGTTAATAAAATTGTAGTTGCGTTGACGGTGGATTTCGTATTATTAATGACAGAATTGTATTGGAAGGACTGAGGAATACCACGAATAATCTTGATTAGAATACCAGTTGTCTCAACTGCAATACAGTGCAACATTCTAAACAAAGAATTTGTCGACATTTGTTGGGTAACGGTGGAGATGCAATACACGAACGGGCAGATCCTGTCATGAACTCCATGCACTAATCCATTGTAACACAAAAGGAAAACGTGCATTCGGATTGAGCTAAATGGTGTTAAGTGAAATCGTTATTCTGTGGAGTTTGTATCCTAACCTCACGCTGAAGAGATCAGGTGACGTTGCCATCAACTACCGTTTCAGACCGTTTCAGAACTGCCCGCCACTGCATGCAATTGGTCGCCATTGCCGCGCCCATCGATCCAGCATTTGGGGTGAACACTCTGTGATATGGAAAACCCTTCCAGATTGCACGGGCTCACGTTCATCGGTGAAACGTGATATGTCAATACAACGAGTATAGAAGACTGCATATAAAGAATGGGCGATTGTGACTCACAGATCGGATAACCTGTCTTTGCTGTGCCGTGGTTGCCAGCACTGCTTTGTATTCGAGATATCGACTCTCTTGACTGAGGTAAAACTCATCCTCGAATACACTGGAATGATCGATAGCTTTACAGCAAAAAACTGACAATGGAAATAAATTAATAGGAAAAAAGAAAGAAGAAGCGACCAACTGCGCCAATAAAAGCACAGATATATAAACGTAAAGATAATGACATTTCTGTGCTTAATTAAGAAAATATCCACAGATAAATATGAGGAAACTGAGGTGTAGTTACACGTACTCACGCCTCAGCCGGTTTACGTGAACTGCGACCCTTTCGAACGGAGGACAGATGAACTGAAATGAAGATCTGGACGGGGCGATTCCTCGGTCTTCCAACTCGAACCCTAAACTGTGTACCGACTGAGCTACACCTGCTCCTCACAGGGAAATGTTACTTAATATTACGAAAATGTGGACTGACCCGTAGTTTGCTACGTTTCTACATGTATTGCTAGCGAAACAGACCGGTGTTCTGACTGAAGTTTTCTTACAGCAACGCAATATGTAACCTTACAGTTTTTTGGTGTGCTTTAAAATTTGCGTGGCATGCCAGTGGCGTTCTGTTCCTGACAAACTCATAACTAACAAGGAATTATCTCCAGAGGCTCCGGATTGTAGATTTACGTTTAATTAAATTATTGTTCTGCTTTATGTTGACAGCACTCCAAACTTTCCGCATTTCATGAAGCGATATGGTTTCGCCGTCTCTGTCTCAGAACGCGAGGCACGGGGCTGTAGCGGAAACATTGAAGACATTCTCCAGAGGAACATGGTTCCACATTGCGCAAGATAACGCCTGAACAATTCTATTTTCTGGGATACAACGCCGTGTAGTCCGTTGAAATTCAACCGACGTTTCGGATGAGCATGTCGCTTCCATCTGTACGGCCGAAATATGGGCCAAGAAAGAAACGAGCCAGAAGAGCCTAGGATAATGCCTATTTTAGAATTCCTTTCCTCGGCATCTTGAAAGCAATGCCAGGAAACCAGAAAACAAGGCGTCGTTCCATGTGCACACGTGTTCATGTACCCGCCCAATCAGAAGCTACGTAGCGTTTCCGAACCGAGCACGAATTCAATTTACGTGAACAAGAAGAGAAGGAGAGTCGCGAGAAAAGCCGGTAAGGGTGGAAAACCTGGCAATCGCAGTCTGACTCCTCACAGAAGGAAGATATTTTCTGGAACCCATCCAGTACCAAGGTGTAAAATACATGGAGCTGCACCTCCACTCCCCCGAACATGTTCATTCTGTGCTGCAGAGCAATTCTACCTTCAACCTTGTATGAAAGCATACGTAATGCGACTCCATTACAGATGTCAGCCTGTTAATATTGTTCAGGGAAATAATCGCTCTCTGCTCTGGGAAACCTAACTGACTGACTTGTGGAGCTGAGCCCTTCTTGAGAAGCCGCCAGTTGTGCAGCTACTCACGAACTTCCCAGCATTCTATGGAATCCGAAGGTTCATTACCGTGTTCACAAGAGCCATTCAGTTGTCCCTATCCTGAGACAGATCGACCCAGTCCATGCCATCCCATCCTATCTCTCTAAGATCCATTTTAATATTGTCCACCCACCTACGTCTTCGTCTTCCCAGTGGTCTCTTTCCTTCTGGCTTTCCCATCTTCTCTCTATTCGTGCTACATGCCCTGATCATCTCACCCTCCTTGACTTGATCATTCTAATTATACTTGGCGAAGAGTACGAGTTGTTATTATCCCCACGTCTAAGCCCCATCTCCATGGATGTGACCTTAGTACAGCTCCAGTCTGTCTCAGCGTAATGTTGGTTTCCCTCAGACAGCCCGAGTTTCACACCCATAAGAAAACAGTAATGTTTCAATCTTAGGATTTTAGATAAAGGACCATTTTGTGCGGAAGGTGAGCTGAAGGAGCTGAATGCGGCCGTGCGGCTGGACTTACCTTTGCCCCGCCTGACAAGATCACCTGGCCCAAGTCATTCTGGACACCGAAAGGATACCTGACCTCGGCGGCAGAGAGGGCGGATCCTGCGGGCGGTGTGGGTCTGCTGCTGGGTCCATGCTGCTGCAGGTATGTCTGTCTCATTCCGCCGTCAGCATCCTCCTCATCTCTGCACCGACCTGCAACGGCCAAGTGAAATCTCGATCAGACAACTTGTGAAGGTGGACAGTTCCAGCGCTGCTGTCTGAACAATATACACTTCTTTCTTCGGGGATATAACGCCATGCAGACTGGTGAATATGAGAGACGTTTCGGAGGAACATGACGTCCCCATTAACAGCTTCGAAGTTCAAGCCAAGTGAGAAACCAGCATGGAGGAGGCAGAAAGCAGGTCTGCTTTCTTCCTCCGAATATTCTTCCAAACTAAGTCTGGAGGATGGGTTCCTCCGAAACGTCGGTCCATTTTCACCGAAATCTGAGCCGTTATATCCTAGAAGATAAAATTCTTCAAAGAAAATCTTAGTTCAGGAAGATGTACCCCTCTGAGCCCAGACCCGTTACCTCCAAAAGACTATACGTTGGCACCGTGCCAAACTGTTCGGTTGAGAGGTGTGGGGACTACTAGTTACAGAGAAAAAGACTAGCCGGACATGTAGCAGGCACGATAATAAATGAAAACTTGCACTGCAAAACACTTCATTGTGTGCCAATATGCATCCTGTTTCTGGGTGAATGCTGTGCGTTGACATAGGTGTAATCCCGGATGTTTCGAAGGATATTGGTATTTCCATCTTCAAACAGAAATGACCACCAACGCCATATTTGTATTACAGGTACACAGACGACTGTGAACGGCCCGACGAAATGAACCGGAGGAGTTTATATCGATCTGTGGACTGGTAAAGTCGGTAATCGGTTTTCTCTGAAGATGGAGGCAGGATGTATGTGTGTAGCAGGCTCACAGAACTGTGGAAGCCAGACAGCAGTTCCTGGCGAACTCTGGAACTGGGCTTTGAATATCGGCGGGCAGCGGCGAGGGATCACTGAACCGCGAAGAAGGAAGGAATGTGTGTTCCCAAAAATTTGGCAGAAAAATGTATTTTTTAAAATCTCGTAAGAGGCTAAACAGCTCCGTCAAGTGTGACTAGTAAAGGGCTTTCTTATTTCTACCCTTCATCCCTTACATGTTTCGGTCTTTACAGACCTTCCTCAGAGGGACATCAATACAATCGGAAGCCACTATTACAGAATTTTTTTGAATGTTAAATATATACATATAAAGTTGATAAAACACAGTGGATATAAATCTAATGTTTTAAAATCCGTTTTTCTTCTTGATTGTGTAACTATGCTGTGAGTATTGGGGTTACGTAGCGTCGATGATAGGTCGATTAATAAACGTGTTGCATTTCGTGGAATGAAAACCGAAGTAATGGAAGAAAACCTACCCCAGTACCCATATCCTGACCATAAATAAAACATGAAATGACCTGGGATCGAAACCGGGCCACCGGTTCGAAAGCGCCTGAGTTGTGAGCACGTGGAAAGGGCTTAACTACAAAGTTTCAACCAGTGGACTCAAGGATGGAGGTGTACACATTGAGCATGGTCGAAACTTGGAGCTACAAAAGACACGGAAGTTCATTTGTTGGGTATTTTCATTCGCATTTAACTTATGACACCTGGTTCGTTTCCCTTCATCAGAATCAAGGAATGAAAGTTTTCCAAACAGCTGGGTCCCGTTGGAAAGCTGGAGGATTGAAGCTCATTGTGTCTTACTGTCCTGACCTCTTATTCAACTCACGAAGGAAACAGTTCCGGTTTCTGAAGTGCTGTATCTACAAAAATAAAATATATGGACTGAGTCCAGTGTAGGAGCCAATTTTATTGCAACAGATTATCATAGCGAACATTTATGTAATGGAATCAATAAGAAATGAATGTATGAAACTTTGCATTTCCTACGAGGAAGCTGGAACGAACCGACACGTGGAACTGTCACGGCCTGTTCAGTGTCTCTCCTATTGCTCCTTCTTCTCAGTCGAATTTGAGAGAAGGCAGCTAGCGCTATGCGTCTCCATACCTACTGCAGCCCGCGAACTTTGCAGCGGAAATTTCATGTACTCAATCTCGTATGCAGGCATCGCTGCGCTCGACACTTCAGCACTCCGAGTATTATATTCTGCATGCCAAGCCAATCAGTCTATTCCTGTGAACAGCGACTTGGAGACGCTACCTGATAAACCCCTCAGTCGAGAATTTAGTTGGGGCTGAAAAAACACAGTTACTGAAGCTGGCGGGGGGACATATTTCTTCATTTATGCTATTTACCCACTGAGTGTGGGTCACGCGGTACCGTACTTGGTCAAGGCACTATGCACTAGTCGGAAGGTCGCGGTTTCGAGCCCCGATAAAATGGATTTTTCAACTGGCCTAATCCTTCCAGGCGCACTATGACCCTGGGGTCGACTCAGCCTCTATCAGAAATGAGTACCAGGAATCTTCTTGGGGGTAAAGTGCGGCCGGCGCTTACCGCCATCTGTGAGCCAATTGTTTAGAAAATGTGGAAACCTCGACGTCTCACAACCCTATGGGCTTCCTCGGCCTGTTACAGGGCTGGGTTAATGTTTTACCTTTTACCTTTTACCTTTTACCTATTCAAGGTAGACTGTTCTCTCAAAACGCGTGCGGATTGTTTAGATGTGGAACTACTGGCAGTATTTCGGTTCGATCTGGCACTGGGAGCGTACAGGAACGCTTTCAAGAGCAATTAATTTTGAAGTGAATATGGATTTTGTGTTCAGCCACTTCATGTGTTGGTACACACTGCGGTCACCGCATTCAGGGCGAGTGAAGTGAACAGAGGGACCGGCCGCAGATCTCGCAATCTCACCCTGAAGAGGGCTACAGCAATCCAGCCGAAAAATTATAACATCACTTGAACCGAAAATTGAAATTAAAAACCAGACACAGGCCGAGAAAGCTGAAGGACAGCTATGGCTCCGAAGCTCAGACCGGAGCATCACAGTCATCAGCACCATCTGGTGTGACTTCAGGCTGCCCACCGCAAATGCCTTGGCCCTCTCGAACGCTCGGAACTGCACTAAAGGTACGGTTGTCTGTCTGTGTTTATTCTGTGTTTGTGTTCTCCTGTGTAGGCAGCGGTCTTGCGTCAGACTGATCCCCCGTCCAAGGTGTCCTACCGGCTGTCTAACATTGACAAACTGAAGTGAAACGAAGCGTTTCACGGATATTCTTTGTTCTAAGTGGAAGCAAAAGGGATGGATAGATAGATAGGTAGGTGGGTGGGTAGGTAGATGGGTAGGTGGGTGGGTTGGTAGGTAGACAGATGGATAAGT